CTAGTTCAACCATTGTGGAAAGCAATATGGAGGTTCCTCAAAATGCTCAAAATAGACTTACCATTTGACCCAGGAATTCCACTTCTAGGAATTTACCCTAAGAATGCAGCACTCCAGTTTGAAAAAGACAGATGCACCCCCATGTTTATCACAGCACTATTTACAATAGCAAAGAAATGGAAGCAACCTAAGTGTCCTTCAGTAGATGAATGGATAAAGAAGATGTGGTACGTATACACAATAGAATATTATTCAGCCTTAAGAAGAGAACAAATCCTACCATTTCCAACGTCGATGGAGGTAGAGGATATTATGCTCAGTGAAATAAGCCATGTGGAGAGAAACAAATACCAAATGACTTCACTCATCTGTGGAGTATAAGAGCAAAAGAAAAACTGAAGGAACAAAACAGAAGCAGAATCACAGAACCCACGAATGGACTAACAGTTACCAAAGGGAAAGAGACTGGGGAGAATGGGAGGGTAAGGATGGATAAGGGTGGGGAAGAAGAAAGGGGGTATTATGATTAGCATGTATAATGTGGGGGGTGGGGGATAGGGGAAGGCTGTGCAACACAGAGAAGACAAGTAGTGATTCTACAACATCTTACTATGCTGATGGACAGTGACTGTAAAGGGGTTTGTGGGGGGGGGAATTGGGGTAGGGGAGAGCCTAGTAAACATAATGTTCTTAAAAAAAAAATTCAGCAGTGAAACCATCTGGTCCAGGAGTTTTGTTCTTAGGAAGTTTTTTGATTACCAATTCAATTTCTTTGCTGGTAATTAGTCTTTTCAGATTTTCAGTTTCTTCCTAGGTCAGATTTGGAAGATTGTATTTTTCTAGAAGTTGTCCATTCTTCTAGGTTATCCAGTTTGTTACCATATAATTTTTCATAGTATTCTCTCATAATTCTTTGTATTTCTGTGGTGTCCGTGGTAATTTTTCCTTTCTCATTTCTGATTCTGTTTATGTGTGTAGATGCTTTTTTTCTTGATTAGTCTGGCTAGGGGTTTATCTATTCTGTTTATTTTCTCGAAGAACCAGATCTTGCTTTCATTGATACTTTCTTTTGCTTTATTCTTCCCAATTTTATTTATTTCTGCTTTAATTTCTTTTTGTCCCTCTTTCTTCTGACTTTGGGCCTCATTTGTTCTTCTTTTTCTAGTTTCACTAGCTGTGAGTTTAGACTGTTGTTCATTTGGGATTGTTCTTCTTTCTTGAGGTACACCTGTATTGCAATATATTTCCCTCTTAGCATAGCCTTTGCTGTGTCCTACAGATTTTGTGTTGCTGAATTATTGTTGTCATTTTTCTCCATGTATTGCTTGATCTGTTTTTATTTGGTCATTGATCCACTGATTATTTAGGAGCATTTTATTAAGCTTCCATGTGTTTGTGGGTTTTATCATTTTCTTTGTTTATTTCTAGTTTCATACCTTTGTGATCTGAGAAGCTGGTTGGTACAATTTCCATTTTTTAACTTATGTTAAGTTTTTTTTGTGGCCTAGTATATGATCTATTCTTGAAAATTTTCCATGTGCAGTTGAGAAGAATATGTATCCTGTTGCTTTTGGATGGAGTGCTCTGCAGATGTCCATTAGGTCCATCTGTTCTAATACACTGTTCAGTGCCTCTATCTCTTATTTTCTGTCTGGTTGATTTGTCTTTTGGTGTGAGTGGTGTGTTGAAGTCTCCTAAAATGAATGCATTGCATTGTATTTCCCCCTTTAATTCTGTTAGTATTTGTTTCACATATGTAGGCGCTCCTGTATTGGGTGCATAGATATTTACAACAGCTATATCCTCTTGTTGGACTGACCCCTTTATCATTATGTCATGTCCTTCATGTCTCTTTTGACTTCCTGACTTTCTTTGTTTTGAAGTCTATTTCGTCTGATACAAGTATTGGAACTCCTGCTTTTTTCTCCCTGTTAGTTGCAAGAAATATCTTTTTCCATCCTTTCCCTTTCAGTCTGTCTATGTCTGTGGGTTTGAAGTGAGTCTCTTGTAGGTAGCATATAGACGGGTCTTGTTTTTTAATCCATTCAGTGACTGTATGTCTTTTGATTGGTGCATTCAGACCATTTACATTTAGGGTGGTTATCGACCGGTATGTACTTATTGCCATTGCATGCTTTAGATTCGTGGTTACAAAAGGATCAAGGGTAATTCCCTTACCATCTAACACTCTAATTTAACTCACTTTGTGTGCTTTTACAAACACAACATAAATGTTCTTCTTTTTTTTTCTTTTTCTTTCTCCTTCATTCTTTGTATGTTATGAATCATATTCTGTACTCTTTGTCTATCCCTTGGATGATGACATCTATTTAGCCTTAGGAATACTTCCATCTATAGGAGTCCCTCCAAAATGCACTGTAGAGGTGTTTTGTGGGAGGTAAATTCTCTCAACTTTTTCTTATCTGAAAATTGTTTAATCCCTCATTCAAGTTTAAATGATAACCTTGCCAGGTATAGTATTCTTGGTTCAAGGCCCTTCTGCTTCATTGCATTCAATATATTATGTCACTCCCTTCTGGCCCGTAAGGTTTCTGTTGAGAAGTCTGATGATAGCCTGATGGGTTTTCCTTTGTATGATTTTTTCTCTCTCTAGCTGCTTTTAAAAGTCTGTCTTTATCCTTGATCTTTGCCATTTTAATTATATGTCTTGGTGTTGTCTTCCTTGGGTCCCTTGTGTTGGGAGATCTGTGCACCTCCATGGCCTGAGAAACTATCTCCTTCCCCAGATTGGGGAAGTTTTCAGTAATTACCTTCTCAATGACACTTTCTATCCCCTTTTCTCTCTTCTTCTTCTGGTCCCCCTATAATATGAATATTGTTCCATTTGGATTGGTCACACATTTCTCTCAATATTCTTTCATTGTTAGAGATTCTTTTTTCTCTTTGTGCCTCAGCTTCTTTGTATTCCTCTTCTCTTAATTTCTATTCCATTTACTTTCTCTTCTACTACATCTAATCTGCTTTTAAATCCCTCCATTGTATGTTTCATTTCATATATGGAATTTCTTAATGATTGAATCTCTGACTTAAATTCATTCCTGAGTTCTTGAATATTTTTCTGTACCTCCATAAGCATGTTTATGATTTTTATTTTAAAGTCTCTTTCAGGCAGATTGGTGAGTTCAGTTTCATTTGGCCCTTTTTCTGGGGTTTGTGAAATTTTGGTCTGAACCATGTTCTTTTGCCATGTCATAATTCTGTGTGGTGCCCAGAATCTCCAGTCTTTGGAGCTGCTCAGCCCTAGAGTGAGGCTGGGGGTTGTAGGGGAGTGGAGCTGGTGCCTGGGGGGAGGAAACATTTGTTTCCTGATTCCTGTCTGTGGTGCCTGTCTCAAGTGTCAGAACCAGTGGGCCAAGCACACAGGTATAAGCCTCTGTCCTTTGTGTCTATAGCTGTTGTAGGATGAGCGTCCTTCTGGTTGGCCTGACCCCGGCTCAGTGATTGCCGGTTCGCGAATCGGTGCCAGCATGCTGGGAGGAAGGTGCAGCAGGCTGCATGTCACAATGGGGGGGGGGGCCTCAGAGCTGAGTAGGCAGCCATGGGAATGGGGCACCTGAAGCTCCTCAAAGTTCCCAATCAACTGGGCAGAGCACGCCCAGACAACCTTGTCCAGCTCTCCCCTCCCCCATGAAGCAAGCTCCGTTCAAATCCTGCTCCTTTAGCAGCCCTCTCACTGCTAGGATGCCTCTCAAACCACTTCCCTTTCCTTTGTTCCAGAGTGGCTGGGTGTGGATCCCCTCCTCCACAAATGGCCGTAATCTGTCTCTCAAGCACTCCACCCATCTTGAGCTCCCCAAGGTCCATAGCACCACACAGTGTAGGTTTCTGCTCCCAAAGCAGACCTCCAGGGCTGGGTGGTCAGCAGTTCTAGGCTTCCACCCCCTCCCCCACTCTGTTTCTCTTCCTCCCATCGCTGAGCTGGGGTGGGGGAAGGGCTTAGGTCCCACCTGATAAAGGCTTTTGTATGTTACCCTGTGTTCATTCATAAGGTCTGCATGCAGTCTGTTTCAGCCTTCTTTCTTGTTGCTGTTTTAGGGTTAGTTGTAACAATTAACTATATTTTCATACTATTTGTGGTTTGGGGAGGAATTCTTCATCTCACCTCTCACGCCGCCATCTTGAATCCTCCTTCCCTTGTTTTTAAATGATGTAAGTCAAGGAAATAGACAAAGTATATACAGAACCCTTCTTCATAATCAAGAAAAAAAATACCTGTGTGAAGCAGATGGTGTGTTCAACATATCCTTTATTTTTTGCTTTTTTCTCACATGGTGCTGCTTTACTGTTTTTGGTCTTTTAGGCTGAAGATTTGCTAGTTCCATCAGTTTGGTCATTCTACATTAGGGAAAGGTAAAGTAAAAAAGATTTCCTTATGTAGAAGCTGGCTATTTACCACTGTTTCTGTTAAGCTGAAGTCTCTATTTGTGCCTGTAAGAAGTTATAAAATTATTTTTCCAGCCTAAGTATAACTTCTAAGCATTACCAATTTGACAAAAGCTCAAGTTATAATTCTCCTTACTCAACTTTCATCTTATTTTGAAGGAATCTGGAATTTATCTAATTGCAACTTAACTTTTAAAGATGTTTTATTATAAAAAATATTAGTTGACCAAATAAATGACTGGACTTGAGGCCAAAAATTTGAACAGGACACACTAAAATAAGTAATTTATCGCCCTTTTCTTGGCAGATACTCAAAAGACCTTGCAAACACAGTAAAATTATGAATTAAACTCTAATTATTAGAGTACCTGGACTGAAGTATTTTTACTTAAAAGCATTTTGTGCATAGTTGTTGCAAATGAATCTTATAAACAAGATAACTTACTTGAGAATAAAGTTTTCAAATACTATACTCTGAAATAGCTTATAAGTAACAATCAAGGTGTGATAATTGATAGCCTATACATACATACCTTATCTCCATCATGACTAATATCTAGACTAGATCTAGCCTAGGCACTTTTGTATCTTCTATAGGATCAGAAAAGAACCTCAAAAAACTAAATAGACACAGCTCTACTTCTCCAGATTTATATTTGGGAAATTTGAAAGCAAAATATACATACAATAAAATGAAGGGAAGGAGAAGAGTGTCATTAAAATAAATTTTAAAACTTTTATCCCTAAGCAAGGAATAATGTATAGATATGTTGTAAATTGTTAAAGCCTCTGAATAACCATGGTTAACCCAAAATTGTATGAATAAATCCAGTTACACAAAACATGGACCTTTATTCATAAACTGTTCACCTACAGAATACCAAATCTCTACAAAAAGTGAGAAATATATTACGCAATCAATAGTTTCTGAATAGTACCATTTTTTAAAAAACATTTCCAGAAGATGAGAGAAGCATGAAACCAGAGATTATTTCATGTAAGGTTTTGCACTCATGACTCTAGAAGAATTATTTGCAGATTTCCTCACTACATCCCTAAATGGAAATCTAAATAAATAAAATGAAAAACAAACAGAAAAGGTTTGGTCAGTCTACCGACAGCATTTGTAATTATTACCATTACTTTCATAAAGAAAGTAAAATTTGCAGAGGTTAAGAATTAACCCAGTGTAGCACTCTACATACACTGTTCTTCACATAGCAACAAGTTTCACACAAGAACTGCCAGCCTTCCTAAACGTCTCAAATCAAGACTGATACTGTATCTACCCTTATTTCTTAGCTTCAGTGGCTCCCTTACACTTTGATTTTCAACTCTTTCCCTATACACTGAGCCACGACTTTAGCGAACATTGACTCAATAATAGTAAAACTGTTGCTGATTATTTGCATATGTTGCCCACATTGCCTGCTTGGATTTTAACTCATGTCAACCATTCCTGTATCTCACCAGTTCTGTGCATAGTTAAGATTCACATCCTTTGACCATACTGGTCTTCTAGGCTCAGGGTTGAAAAATTACAGCCCATGGACCAAATCCAGCAATATTTTTTTGTTGTTGTTAAATAGAAAGCTTTGTTGAAACACAACCACATCCACTCATTTTAGGAACTGTCTATGGCTGCTTCCCACTAAACTGGAACTCCTTGTCCCTACACTGAAAATGTTTATAATTTCGGTTCTAGGCTGTGCTGTGGATTATATGCCTGACATTAACAATTTACTGTTCTTAAACTGAAGGAACAAAACAGCAGCAGACTCACAGACTTCTAGAAGGGACTACCAGTTACCAAAGGGAAGGGAGTGGGGATGGGGTGTTGGAGGGTGGAGGGAGGGAGAAGGGGATTGAGGACATTATGATTGGCACACATGGTGTGTGTGGGGATAATAGGGAAGACAGTGTAGCACAGAAAAGACAAGTAGTGACTCTGTGCCATCTTGTTATGCTGATGGACAGCGACTGTGGTGGGGTGTGTATGGGGACCTCGATAATATGGGTGAATGTAGTAACCACCATGTTGCTCATATGAAACCGTCATAAGACTATATATCAATGATACCTTAATTTAAAAAATGTACTGCTCTTCACCAAAATCTTAAAATAAATCATCAAGAACTACCAATAAAAAGAATAGTTCATCTGCAGTAGTTACTATGAATAGTTTTGTATAAAATCCTACAAAATTGTTCTAGAAATTATTCAGAGGTGACTACACTTCAGGGGAGTAAGCTGAAAAATCATGAAAATAATCTATTCTTGTCCTTATAATTTGAGAGAGTTGTTTAATAAAATCCCCACAAAAGAATTAGTGAATAATGAATCATTGCTCCCAGAGAAAATTAAGGATTCAGTTCCTGCAAGCTCACATTTCATCAGTTGATCAATGTGAATTTCTATTTAAGAACACCTTATTTCATCTTGTTGATTCACTAACATTGAACTCATAGTCAAGAGCACTATAACTTAGAACGGAACAAAGCTTATCTAACACATGTACCTTCTCCATAGGACACATAACAGCCTTCTTGATCTTGGAAACATCAGACAGCACTTCAACATATGCTTGGGGACCATTTTAAACAGCAAAATCACCACCAAACAGCAGAAATATGTGAAAAACATGGTATTAAATGCACCATAGCACGGACACTTCTTTATATTATGAAAGCTGAAATAAATGCAGAATGTCACCTTGTTTTACCTCATCTAGGAATGTGCATGTAAAGAGACTCAAAATTTTCATCACTGTGTGCATGCCCAAGTCCACAGAAGACCATAAAAGCATTGCAAATATTTATTTTGGGGTACAAATAAATTTTATCAAGTAGGCAAATTCATAAATGCAGAATGCACAAATGAGGATCAATTGTACTTTATAATAACAATCATCAATCTAAAAAATTACTCATTAACTGAAAATTTTTCTTCCATCTTGGTATTTGGGCTCAGGTCTTAATCTATAGCTACATATATGCTTGAGGGGTTGGGGCAAATTCTAACGACCCCAAATTATGAAGAATTATATGCAAATTTAAGAAGAATAAGAGATTCTCTTTTCCATATTCTGTGTTTTTAGAACCTAAACCAATATTAGACATCACAAACCTCTGTCGGTCTTCATCATCACTGCTTTCATATTCTGATTCTTTATTAGATAATTCCTCATCCTCATCAGGCAAAGGAGGTTCCTCTGGTGGCTGAGGAGACGCAGGTGGAAGAGGTGCATGTAATGGCATATAGTCTTCATACTAATTAAAAAAACAAAAATACTATGGCAATCTATGATATAAATAGAAAAGAAAAACGATTTCTATTCAGATATATGATTCTCATATTGCTTTCATGATATTTTACACATTCAACAACTATTGAGGTAATACCTCCTGTGGCAGACTGCTAGCTGATCATAAAATTTACTTCATCTTCCTTGACCCCTAGGCTAAACTAAATTCTAAACTTCCCTGCCGGTTAGATTTCACCAACAAGCTGAGTTTTAGCCAATGGAATGTTAGCATAAAACCTTTCACACATAATCTTCTCTTCCTTCTTGATTTGCTGTTCCAACCTGAGAATGTGCATAGTAAAAAAAACTATTGAATTATTTGAATCTCCTCAGTAGACAGAACACCATTTTGCCCTACTTTAGGAACAGACCTGACATAAGTAGGAAATAAACTGCATTAAGTGACTAAGATTTGAGTTTTATTTGATAACAGCAGCATAATTTTAACTAATATCTCTGCAGTGCGCCAGGCATTGAGGTGTTAGGGTTACATAGGAAAATTATGAAGTCAGTAGTATACACATTAGAAAAGCAGACAATATACAATACACAACTGAAAAGAAATTTTCTACTTACATGTTATCACTCAAAATTACTTCTCATTGCTATTATCAAAAAGGTACTAAGAATACTATAGCTAAATAACTAGAATTATGCAAGAGCATACATACCTTACTGTCTAAATTACTGATAGATTTGCATAGTAAATTTTAAAAATATTAGTAACATTTCTTGTCTTCTGCAAATGAAGCTCTATGTGTAATAAAACCAGAGCAACGGAAACTTCAGATAATTTTGTTAAATGTAATTATAGAATGGCAAAAAGTTCTGGGTCAAAAGAATAAACAACACTGGCAGAAATGATGGCCTCTAAGCGTCTCTTTCATGTTCTGGCTTTCTCCCACTTTTTGTTCTCCACTTGACTATTATTATTTCATTAACTTTATATCTGTTCTTTATTCTGAATGCACATACAGGTCATTGGCACATTTGTAATATTTAGCCTCAGTAATCTTACCTCAAGAATATAAATTTTGAATCTTAAAAATTCTAAGAGCTCTCTTACCATGGGAGGTCGTGCAGTAATTTGTCCAAAAGGTGTGGGCAAATTCATTTTATTCATAAGATGAAGTACCTTAGAGTGGTAAAACATTTAAAATCACACAGTAAAATAACGATTCAACTCACACCTTTTATTTTATACACTTGAAAACTTCGCAACACTAGTGGTTAATTTAATGCAAAGGCTAGTCCACACTGAACTTTTACAATCACAGGACAGGGCTAAAAGAAGGCACTGGCATATCTCAAAAGACTAGCCTTCCTAAAATGTTTGTCAATTCTACAAATACTATTATCTTATTAAAAATATCATGTTCTTGCAATGCAAAAATCTACTACAATGTTATGTCCTTTTCCTTGATAATTGTGACATTATGAAACACAGAGAAGTACAATAAAGAAAAGAAATATCATCTATATTTTGTACTTCAAAGAAGTATCTTATTTTTGTCAATAATTTCAGAATTTGCTGAGGGGGTCCAATAGGTCTTTTCCTTTAAGAATGAATCTCTACATTAAAGGTAGGCTAAGTAACAAATAATTGTTAAGAAATTATATTTCCCAAATTATCTAATGTGTATGTTATTAATATTAAATATAGTAGTATGTTTATGCTATAGTTTATAAAAGTTTATATACTTTACTTGAATACAGTTAATATTTCATTACCATTTGCCGTGGACTGAATGTTTGTAATACCCTCCACAATTTCCTATGTTGAATCCTAGGCTCAATGTGGTGGTATGAAGAGGTGGGGCCTTTGGAAATAATTAGACCATAAGGCTAGAGCCCTGATGAATAGGATAGGTATCCTTTATAAAAGGGGCCCTGGAGAGCTCTCTCACTTTCTCTTGACTATGTGAGGATATAAAGAAAAAACAGCCCTTTGCGACCCAGAAGAGTACCCCTCACAGAACCCAAACATGATGGCACCCTGATCTTGGACTTTCAGCCTACACAACTGTGAGAAATAATTTTTGGTTGTTTCTAAGCCACCCACTCTATGGTACTTAGTTATAGCAGCTTGAACTAAGACATCTTTAAAATGCCGCAGTATCATTGCATGTTGAAATTAGTCTAATTAATACTACTAAGAAAAATTATGATTTATTATAGAAAATAATGTATCAAGTTATATAAGCATTTATTTAGAAGAACTTAAGTTTTATTTCACTTACTTACCTGTACATAGAACTTAGGCACACTTGCTAAAGCATTTACTATGTTTGCTAGGATTGTGCTTGAAGGTGGTGGATACATGTACTTGAGGCATGAATTCAGAGGAAAAGTCAGCCTGAAAAAAATTATTTAAAATCCTTATCATGTTTTGTATATTTCACACCAATAACTCACTTTCGGTAACCTGATCACACACAATATTACTCAAATAATTCAGTACTCTTAGATTTACCTTGATTTACTTTTAGATTTTTTCCTACAAGATCTAAATAAGTACAATTTTTAAAAAACTTGCTTTCTGATTGCATTACAGAAAAATAAGGTATTCATCAGAGCTCATCTTAGAACTCTAAACATTTGAATGGAACCAAATTCTGTGACAAACTCTTATAACTCAAAATGTTTAATCAATGCATTAAAAATGACACAGTATGGTCTGGCAGCTGAGGCACTGAGGGTCTGGCATCCCAACCCAGGGGGAAAATGCGATCTTTGACTCAAGAGGAGATCCATGTAATGTTTGAAAAGATAGCAAAATACATTGGGGAGAATCTTCAGCTGCTAGTCAACAGGACCGACGGCACCTACTGTTTCAGGCTGCACAACGACTGGGTGTACTACGTGAGTGAGATCCTGAAGTTGGCTGCCAACATCTCCAGGGACAAGCTGGTTTTACTGGGGACCTGCTTTGGAAAATTCACCAACACCCACAAGTTCTGGTTACACATTACTGCTCTCGAGTAACAAGCACCCTATGCCAAGTATAAAGTGTGGAAAAGCCTGGAACAGAGCAGTATGGGAACGATGTGTTGAAATCTGGGCTGGATGGAATCACCAAAAATACTTCTCAGTACTAGGGAGTGGTGGCCTACTCCATGGAAGACATCACCTCCATTGGGTTTTGGGGTGGCAGCAAAACCTACACAAGACTGCAAGAAAGTAGACCCCATGGCTACTGTGGTATTTCATTAGGGCAGACATTGGGGAATACGTGCGGCACGAAGTGACTTAAAAAGAAATCGTTGCAAGGACTTATGGCTGTATGGAAGGGCGCTAGTTTTGTTTCCTGCATCTGGACCATCACGTTGAATTTTGTCAACACTGTGACCTACTCAGGGACTTCTTAGTTTAAAATTCTATTATGGACGAATGCAGGCTGGATTCTTACTATGCAGAAATGGCTCAAAAATGGTGTTTCAGATCTTTGTGTTCATTACTAAATAAAATACTGTGTTTTATATTTGAATTAGAAGGCTTGTTTTAAGTAACAGGTTCTAAATCATTGGACCTGGGGACAAGAATGGCTTATTTTTATCTGTGATAACACTGTTTTCCAAACTCATTATTAAGAACACATGGATTTTCTTCATTATTTATGAATACTATGAAAGTTAGATATTACCATATCAGAGTAGTAGGCTGTGTGGGATATTACAAATGATATTTGGATAAAATAAGAGCAATTTATTTTGATTTTCTATGCAGTAGGTTCTATGCTGTGTATGAAAGAGAAACTTGGATTCAAACCCCAGTTGTGACATCTACAAGCTGTATGGCCTTAGATGAGTCATCAAACTTTAATAAGCTTCATTTTCTTCTGTTTCAAATAGCTTTGACCTTCCTACTTAAGGGGAGTTTTTAGAATTAGAAATCATGATTGAAAACACCTAGCACAGTGCCTAGCAAATGATAGGTGTTGAATAAATGCTAAGAATTATTTTAACATTGCATATACTGAGTACTTCTAGTACTAAGAATAAGATCTTAAGAGTGTAACTTGATTATATTATGTTGGTTTTTACAAGCTGTTTTCTCAATCTTTCTTTTTCTTGGATGGTATGATCCCAGGCTTAATGTTTTTTTCATCACCTTCATTTCCTAAAACATAATTCCCCTTATCAACTTTTACTTACCTGACTGGACTAAATAAAAAGCCCTAACAAGAAACCCTGAAATAATTCAGTCCTCCATCTTTCCAAAATTATCTTTAGAATTATTAAAATATACTCTTTTAAAATGGAAAACATTTCACAAAATTTTTTTGAACTACCTGTATTGTACAATTTAATGAAAACTTATTTTAAATTTCAAAGGTGACATCTCAAAAAAAATTCTTTCCACCTACCAAAAAAAAAAAAAAAATGACACAGTATGTAATAGAACATCCTTGTGTAAAAAATTATCTTATTTGCAATATATACACCCAGAACAACAAAGCCAAAGGAACAACAAATTGCAAACAAAAAATACTAACCCATGGTTTGGTGCAATTCCATTTTCTATAGTTAAACAACCAAGTTCTTTCTTTTCTTTCTCATCTTCCACAGGGTCTTCAGACCTAGGAAGTATAGAACAAAATTAGTCTTATCTTTGGAAATAGAGTGAACAATTATATACAGAAAAGACATTATCTTTTCAAATATGGTATTACAGTTCCATAGTAACTTTCAAGCACTTCTCAAACACCAATGTAAAGGAAGGTAAATAGTCAAACTTTAATGAATAGCTTCTCTGTTCCAGATACTATACAAGGCATGTATACATCATCTTTTACTATTCAAAGCAACCCTAAACAAGATGGTATGATAAATTTCATTAATCAAAAAAACAAAAACAAACCCTCCCCCTTAAGTTTACATGGTATGCAACAGTGGTACTCAAATGTCTTTAATGTGCATCAAAATCACCTAGAGGGTTTGTTAAAACTCAGACTGATGGGGCTTTATTCTGACCTCCACAAATTTCTAATTCAGTAGGACTGGGTTAAGGTCCAAGAATCTGTATTTCAATGAAGAGCCGACATGATTCAACTGATCCAGGTACTATTTTGAGATCTACTAGTCCAACACAAATTTGAAAAGGTTATTTAAGTAACCACAAGTTACAGCTGGGAACAAAATACCACTTTTTATTTCAAAGGCCATGCCTATTCATGATACCCTGTCATCTGTAATACAAGGACTTCATACCAGCTACGTCTCTCCACTTAAACTTGAATGCTTTTCACTCCATTCTCTTCCCACTTCACATTAATTCCTAATAATAAATCAACACTCTGGTCTCTAATGCACAATTAGGAACAAAAATATATTGTTTTAATGTACTAGATTCAATACAGAGATGTATCATTTATTGTTTCAAATTATTTACTTGCAAGTCTGAAAACAATCCAACAGCAATACAACTGATTAAAATAAATACTTTAAAATGTTAGGAAAACCTAACTATCTACATACCTTTTCTTCTTTTCAGTGCCCGAAGAGGGACATGGGGAATGAACTCGATCTAGCTCTTTTGCAAATTCAACAACTAAAGTATGACCTAAAAGTTTCAGCTGATGGAGTCTTGTCAATGCCTTCGTTTGGAAGAACAAGAGAGCAAAAAATTTTATGATTGCACCAAAAACTGTTAAGAGACTGTCTACAAAATAATTTATACACGGTCTTTGTTAATGCTCTTAACATTTCCTTCGCTATTTCTAATCTCAGACTGTCAAGCCTTTATCACTTATAAAGCAACTGCTTCCTGTCACTGAGCAAAACTAAAATCTGGTTAAATTCAAGTCTGCCTTACCCGGGCAGCAGAAAATGGTTAGAAAAACAAATCTAAAAAATGGGCTAGGTGACTTTAAATTCATGACTACAACCACACATCTAGGGGTGAACATTAATAATGTCACAGAGTTACATATTACATTCTTAGTTCCTTTTTTCCAACAATCTCCAAGAAAATTTTTACTTTCTCCTTATCCCTCAACCTTACAAAATCCCTCTCCCATTCTTTTAGCCTAAGACCTTGCTTCCTACTTTGCAAAAACTGAAGCATCCAGATTGTCACCATAACTCCCCATCGGTATACCAGTATACGCACACACATATTCTATCTTCCATTTGTTATCATTTACTACTATCCACATTTTCTCTAAACCCAGTTGCCTGACTTACATACTAACTAAATCGCACCCTCTTCACCTACTCAAGAGTCTATCTTCTACTCTCTGGAACTTCATAGGGGCTGTTCTTACACTGTATACTGCTAATTTTCTGACTTCTCCTGCATCATCCACATCAACATACAAATATGCTCCTATTTCTCGCATCCTGAAGTATTTATTTTTTCTTCATCTATTGATCCTACGTACACTGCCTTGCACTGCCTTTCCCCCGACACACCATCTTTTATTAGGCTGGCAGTAAAACTTAAGAATGAGCTAAGTGCTCTCCTAAAATTCCTTTCTTCCAGCAAGTCTCATACCTATTCTGATCAGGCCAGTGACTTAATCAGTCCACGAACACTGCTTGTCAAGAAATTCTGTATCACCAAGCCAATAATTAACTCTTGAGTCACCTTTTTTACTGCATTTATCATCAGCATTTACTACAAGATAACTCCCTGTACATGTTCTTCACTTGGTGTCAAGACACCATACTTTCCTAGTTTTCTTCTTAGCTTACTGGCTGCTTCTCCTCAATCTCTTTGGCTTGTGCCTGCTCAAACTCTTAATGTTGACATATTCCAGAGCTGTATTACTGGTCCTATCTAGTTTTCTGGTGTTCTAACCCAACATGCTAAATTTAAACTCCTTCTGTATGCTGATGATTTCCCAATTCATAACTGCATCCCAAACCTTTGTCCTCAAGTCCAGGTATACATACCAACTACCAGATAGCTTCCCTTTGGTGTCTAATAAACTGAAAATCAACACTTCAGAAACCAAACCACTAATCTTCTCTGACCACCACCCCCCAACCATTGTTCTCTATCTAGAGCCTTCCCCTTTTCAGTTGATGGGAACTCCATTTATTATTTCATAAATCTTGGAATCATTCTTAACACCTCTTTCCCACATTGCATACCAAAGCCATCAAGAATTCCTATTTGCTTTTACTTTCAAAACATATTTAAAAATATGAACACTTTTTATCAACTCCAGTGCTACCACCAGGGTCCAAGCAACCATCATCCCTGGACTGAATTACCATAACCTTTTAACAAATTTTCATTTCCGCTCTTCCCTGTCTTCCATCTATTCTCAACACAACAGCCAAGGTTATCTTCTTAAAGATGTGTCAGATTATGTTATTGCTTGCTCAAAATATTCCCTGTACTCCAATGGCTCCCCATTTTATTCAGAGTAAACTCCAGAGACCTGAATTTCAACTCCAGAGACCTCTGACTAGAATGCATTTTCCCCAGATATTCCCTTAGTTAACTTTCCCAATTTTGTCTAACCACTTGCAACGTAACTGACCACATCTAGCATTCCTATTTCATTCTTTGTTTTCCATTGCATTTATCATTTTCTAAAATATTAAACAATGTATTAAGTTTATTTTTTATGGTCTATTTCCCCTTTTGACAATGTAAGCCCCAATAAGGGCATAAATCTTTTGTTTTATTCACTGATATACGCCAAGACCTAAAGCAGCATATTACACAAAATAATCACTTAAAATACTGTGAACAAAGGGAACTGCAGACCTTAACTGGGACAGTTGTATTCCACCATCTTTATGCATTCTTATTTAACTGCTTCATTATACAAAGCAAGTTTTAAAATGTTTCAATAGTTTTCAAGTCCTAAATCAACTGAGGTCTCATGAACCTTTGATTATCTGAAATACAGGTCAACTGGGCTGAACTGTTTCAATTTTTTCTTCTCAAAATGGATGCCACATACATTCTCTTTTCAAGGATTTATGCTTTTTCCATTTTTAATGTTAACTAATTTTCCTATCTCTGTCAGCTACTTACTTTACTCTTAAACATTTGTCTCCTTTTGTTTTTGAAATATCAGTCAGGTGCACTCTAAGTCTTGTCACTGCTACTATCTTGTCTTTCCTTCTCTTTACTAATCTTGACCCTAAAACAATGTGGTTTCATTACCATATTTTATTTATAAATTCTTATGCTATATTAAGAAAAGTTTTTCTCTGAAAAAAAAATTTCATATACATTAAAAAATACATGTAATATGAAAGTCTTATGTAATCCCATCCACAGATAAAAATTTGTATTAACAATCTGGTAAATAGCTTTGCCACATTTTTTTTCCTATGCGTGTACAATATGCTACAAGTTTTCCAAAAATCTAAGGTCACAATACACAAAATACACGTTTTTCCACTTTATTCATATATTTTATGTGGGCTACCTAATACATATTAATACTGGGCTATTAATACATATTCATTTGACCTCATTCTCTAGCAGTTGTGGTCCAGTAAATGGATATATCTTACAATTTAAACTGTTCCCACCCCTCACTGAAAATTTAGGTCATTTCTGTTGTTTTACAGTAAAAAGTCCTTTACTAACAGATTGTGTTCATTCCTCATTTTGTGTCATCACAGGATCTCATCTTCTTTAAACCCCCTCCTCTTTTCATCCAAGATAGTTTCTTTTCTTATTCTACTTCCTTCTTAACTTCTCCCTGCCATATTCTCCTTTGCTATCAATTCACCTGGTTAAAAGAAAATGTATTTTTGACCTTGCCTCAGCTCTAGACTAATACTTTTTAACTGTTTTAAACATATTTCCACAGAAGTAGCCCACTTCTTAAAGTTAACACATAACATTTGAATTAATTATCTACCTTTGTAAACACCTGAATGTTTGAATATTCATAATATTTCAATCTGAAATAAAAAAACCACTGATTTTTAAAAACGATAGTTTAACATTTCGTTTTTACACAAAGGCTGGATAATAGAAAGTTGTTGATAACTTTGACAGTAAAGAAAAATTCATACCTTTATAGCTGCTTTTTCATTAGGGAAAGTAGCAAAAGCTGTATGTTTCTAAAAAAGAATTGAGGTACAAATTACTTCTTCTAATAAGGAAGTCTGATATTTTAGCAGTTGGCAGTGATTTGACCATTAATAAAATCACGGAAAACGATGGAACAGAGGTCATTTTACCTGATTACCTCTTTCAGGAGAGTGGTTTTTGAGTCTTTTTTGGATTAAAGTTCTGTGAGATAAAGCTATGTAGTCTTTTTCATATAAAGGTGCATGTGCACAGACACAAACAACGTTTTCAAACGGTACAAAAGACCAGAAGTTAAAAAAACCCTACTATACACAGAGGACCACCCTTAATCCATCCAAAAACATAAAAAATATCCGATTTATAAAATACATCTAAGGATGTATTTACTTTTTATTAAACTTTCCTTTATACATCCAGATGCAAAGCTTAAAAATGTTCACCAACAGTCATTTTTCAAGTGTATGCTTCCTTTGGGCTTTATCTTTGTACTAAGGGTTCAATGGGTGAAGGCTATTTTAACATAAACTGTAAATAATTTTAAAACCATCAAAAAAAACCCAAATTAAAAGTAAATGAATCATTAAGGAACAGTTCTTGCAAATACTAAAGCCTTTACAAGTTGCTTGAGTAATTATATCACACATTCTGATCTGATTGATCCACGTCTAATCTGATCCAAGATGATCTGATTAAGCCTACTTAAACTGCACCACAGAGAGTATTTGTATTTGCTGGTATACATGCCATTTTGATCAAAATTAGTCTTTCTTCTAATTCTCAACTCTGTCTGCATATTATAATCACCTGGGGAGACTTTAAACCATTGATGTTTTTGCTCCATCACAGACCGGTTTTCAGGAATTTAATAGCACCATTACTATTTTAATGCAGCGAAATTCATCTAAAACATCTTCAGGTATAAAAGAAAAAGTAATAGCGAAAATTCCTTGTGTAGGAACTACTGAAAGTCTTAAATATAGTAATATATTTAAATAATATATGTTAAATAAGTCTTAAAACATTGTGTCCCAAAGGACTCGCAAGGAAATTTTTTTGACTTTTTCGTCAAAAACCTAGTAGGGAAAATCTGTAACTAGTTTAAGTGACTATTATTTCTCCTCTATCTTAACGAATGTCTTAACTCTGGCTTAGAAACGAACCAAAAATTTAAAACGTCTGTTGTTACATGTATCTGGGAGTACTTTGAATTTAAGAGAAATACCCCCAAATTCAGAGTAGTTTTGAAATTCTCCGGATGGGTTGAAAGAGGGAATATAACTAAGCCTTTTCCATTTTCTGCCTTGCCTTTCTCACTTGCCCATTTAGGCAGCGCCGTGATTAATCTAGGCTGGAACCAATTAAAATTTCACTTCGCACGCACGGTATTTTTACATAAAAGAGGAGGGACGGAGAAGTCTCCCCCAAACAAACGCGTCTTCCCCACTCTTCCCGGTCTTTTTCTTGTCCAAGCGCCCCCTCCCCGGGTCAACAGCCAAGGACCTTTCCGGGCGGCTCGGGACGGACGCGACCTTACCAGTCGCCCCTTATCTGACAGGACGCGCACCGACTGTGCCCCGAAATACTTCAGCAAGTCTTCTTTCTCTTCAGCCGTCAGCTCGGCTGGCAGGTGCCTCACTAGAAGGGTCCGGTCGCCCCGCAGCAGAGAAAGAGAAGCAGAGCCCTGGCATCCTCTCGGCATCGGTAGCGGCTGCTCAGGGGCCGCCATTTCCCTGGGAGAAACAGGAATTGAGACTTCTGGGGAAGACGCCGAGGTGAAAAAAAATAGCGTTAATCACCAGAAGCTGAGATAAATGAGTATTTTTCCGCTTCGCGCTAAGGATTCTGGAAACAAGGAAATACCGCGAGAAATGGTGGCTTTCGTGAGACCTGCACCGCTAACGAGTGGCGCCTCCTAAGGAGACCGCTTCTTCAGACTGAAGCGCGAGGTTCTACAGTGATGGTAAAGCAGAATGATATGAATTTCGGGTACTTGCTGAAGTTATTAGAAACAAAAATTCCCCGGAAAGAGTCGTGAGGATTTAAAAAGTTGTCAAAGAAGTAATGAGGGCCCTCGGTCGCTTAAAGGAAAGAGGTTGTGTACCCAAGCACTGAAAATGTCAGTGCTGCGCATGTGCGCCGGGGAGCGCGTCTGGGCGTGGCGCCCACGGGGCGGGGCTGCGCGGACGGGCGGCTGATCCTGGCTGAAGGCGGAAGCGCGTCTGAGGCGGGCGGGGGCGAGGACTTGGTGTGGGGTTGTGGGGGGGTGCTTACAGTTTTAGGGTTGTAAGGCCTGAAGTTCTTTCTTCAGATCAATGAGGTCCATGTAAGCAGAATAATTCAATTTAAGGGAAAAAAAAGTTGAGACAGAAACATGATTTGTGTTCTTGACTCGTGGTGTATGTAGCTAATAGGCTCAGCGTTTATTACAATTGTCGGACTCGAGATACCCTAATAAACATACAACTACTATAAATATATCTTAATATATTTAATCCTCACAGCAATTAAGGAGTAGGTACACCTCCCCATTTCAATTAAGGTCATTGATGTCCACAGAGGTTTAAATAGCACAGCTAGTAAATGGCAGAGCTGGGATTTGACTCTTGTTAGTGGGCTTTACACTCATCCACTCTGCTACCCAGTTTCTGAATGGAGTGAGGCAGAGATCATCCAAAGGAGTCAGACATATCTCCTTTCTTACAACAGTGGGCCTTGAAGTTTCTAGAGCAAGGTGTTCTAGGTGCAGCTATACAGCCTAAAGTACCTCTTATTTGCTACTTGATTAGATTTGAAAGATATAGCAGTAAACAATACTTCCAAGTTCTGCTCTCATGGAGCATTAGGCAGGGAACGAGAGGAACAAACATTAGTAAAAACTGGAAAATAAATGGGGAAAACCCCTCAAATTGTCAGGTATGCAAAGCCAGAGAAGGGAGCCCTATAGGTTTGTTTGGAATCTTGATTATCCAAAAAGTGACTGGAAACTGATAGGTTCTTTTACTAGAGGTGTGTGTAATGATTAAATTTTAGATGTGAAAATTTTTCTTTGGTTGCACTTGTCAAAAAACAAAAGTCAGCAGTGTATTTAAAGATATAATTGGCTTTATTAAGTGGTTCATGAATAGGGCAGCATCCCATCTAAGTAGTAGAGATATGCTCCCAGAAATTGTACAAAATGGAAGGTTTTTATAGGAAAGAGGTTGGGTTGGAGAAATTGGTAGCAAAAGAAAAGTTTGTTTCAGGCAAGGGCACACTCCCTTAGGGGGAATGGCAAGGTGTCCCATGCAGGCTTTTGTGGGATGGAGAAGGCTCATGTGACAGATTACCTAATTGTTGATGACCAGAAAGTTCTTAATTGCCAACTTATTCCTAGAAAAAGTTGAAACTGTAATTAAGTCTTGTTCGGAGGGCAAATGACTCCATTTGTGCTTTCTATTTTTAGCATGATTCATCCTCATCTTCATCAGATCGCCTTCTATCACTGAGTATCTTAGATGGGAGCAGCTTTTTTTTGTTGTTACTTGTTTTGTGTAGGTGAACTTGTAATTCAGAATATCTCACCTGGCTTTAGTACATATACGTATCAACGGGCGCTAAAGGGTGGAGAGAAGTATGGCTTTAGTGCATTTGCATCATTCCTCAGTGTTGGAGAGAAGTTCATCTCCATATCAATGGGTAATTACCTGGGCAAGGAGGTAATCTGTACCCAAGAGGTGAGGGGAGGGCCAGTTTTGCTGCTGCTGAAGAGGGAGATAGATAGGCTGGACTGCAGTTTTGTAAGCAATAAACAGGTTTTAAACTTTATTTCTTCTTTGACTGATTTCAGTTTTTAGAGGTATTTTGCCCCGGGATTTCCTCTCCCTGGACTTAAATCTGACATAGTCAGTAGGGCTCCTCTGAACCCAAAATCTGTCATAATGGGTGAGATCTTTGGGAGGGCTGCCCCAAGAAATGATGGGGAAAAGTGATGCTCGCACTGGCGCTCGCACTGAGGGACAAGTTTCTACACTCGTGTGGTCACAGAGGTGCCACCACCGCTGCTGGCCGCGCTGACCCTGTCGTGTGGCCCAAGCCTAAGGCTTATTGCTTCTGCCACTGATGCTCCTTCTGCTGTGGGCTAGAGCCTGGTCACAACTATGGAAAGGAGCAGAGGTCCAGTACATATTGATAGAGAAGCAACTGACTGCTGTGTACCATGCCTTGTTGGCTATGGAGCCCATTGCTGGAAAAGCTCTGACCAAGGTAATAACCACCTATTCCATTGCAGGGTGGGTGAGAGACTGGACCCAAAGGCCATGGAGTGGTGTGATTGCCCTTTTGCCTTTGGCATCCCTAGGGAATGGTGAAGCAGATGCATTGGCCCAGGTGCGCTGGCTAGAAGGAAAGTCAGCCTCTGATGTGGCCAAATGGCTACATCAGCGTTTGTTGCATGTGGGGCAAAAGACAATGTGGGCTGCAGCCTGTCGGTGGGGCTTGCTATTGACCTTTGAAGAGATCACCCAATCCCGGAAGGAGTTCCCTCACGTTGTGCAAATTAGCAAACCACCAAGAGGGGCCTAGAGCTTCTCTTTGCAGCCTATGGCTGGTCGCTGGTGATTGAGAGCAATCAAGGCACCTACTTTATTGGACAGGCATTGCAAGGATGGGTGAAGCAATTAGGAATGAAATGGACATGGCCTTGGGACATTTCAACACAGGTATGGGCGATCGCAGGCTCTTCTGGTACCTTGGGGAAAAGGCCTTGAAGCTGGTCTCCTGTGTGTTCCTGGAATAACAGCAAAGTGGCCCCCCACAATCATGGTTATTTGCTTCTACAGTCCTTGTGTCCTGGATGCACACCCCCCCCCATCCCCTAGCTATAGCTGCTGTGTGATGGCTAAAATGAACAAGCTTTGGACTTAATCTGCATGGGACTTTGAATTTAGCCAAATCCTCTGGTTTGAGAATTACCATGATTGTATTGCTGTTGTCAAGAAAAAAAATGCTTAAAGAGAGGCTTGACTTTGTCTAATGTTTGGTAAAAGTTTTGTGAGCGATCTAGCATGGTTGTTAGGAATGAGTAAACAAGTGTAGAAACATATTTTGTGCTTAGTGAGAGATTGTGCTATAAAGTACATTTACTTAATCTGCATAGGCTGAATCCTCTGGCTTAAGGATTATCATGATTTTTATTGCTATTGCTATTGTATGTCATTAGTTTGTTTGGAAGAGGGGGAACGAGTAAATTGTAAGGTGAGATTTCTGGAGGGGTGGCCTGTGGGTAAAATTGTAATTTATCCAGAATATCTTGTCTGGCTTTTAGTACATCTGCATATCAACAGGTGCTCAAGGGTGAAGAGAAGCATAGCCTTGGTGCATTTGCATCATTCCTCAGGGTTAGAGAGATGTTCGTCTCCATATCAATGGGTAGTTACCTGGGCGACTAGGGCTTATCTGTACCTGAGAGGTGAGGGGAGGGCTGGTTTTGCTGCTGCTGTAGCAGGAGAGAGAGGTGGGCCAGACTGTGGTTTTATAAGCAAGAAATGGATTTTAAACTTTATTTCTCCCTTTGACTGATTTCAGTTTTTAGAGGTATTTTGCCCTGGGATTTTCTCTCCCCAGACTTACACTTTGCTTCCCCAGTCCTCCTCACTCAGCCATGTGTCTGTTGGACATCCCTTTCTATCTCCAAATTGCTTATTGTTTGCCACATGAAGCCAGAAGAACTTCAGGGGCCTATTTTTGGAAGGCCTTGAAGAACTAAAGTGAAATGAGGAGTTTATTCCACTTATTTTCTGACTTAAAAAGATATAACTGACATAACTATATTCATTTCAGGTATGCAACGTAATGAATCGATATTTGTATACACTGTAAAATGATCACCACAGTAAGTCTAAGTAACATATGTCACCTTACATAGCTTAAAAAAGTTCTTGTTCTTTTAATGAGAACTTTTCTTACTTTCAGTGATTTAGAAATGTTCAATATAGTATTACTAAATATAGTCATCATGCTGTACATTACATCCCCAGGAGGTATTTATTTTATCACTGTAAGTTTGTACCTTTTGACTCTTTTCACTCATTTCTCCCATCCCCCACTACTGGTCTCTGGCAACCACCAATTTGTTTTCTGTGTTGATAAGCTTGGTTATTTTTTTGTTTTTGTTTTTGTTTTAGATTTAACATTTAAGTAAGATCATACAGTATCTTCCTCTGTTTGACTTATTTCACTTATTATAATGTCCTTGAGTTTAATCCATGTTTTTGCAAATGGCAAGATTTCATTCTTTTTAAAGGCTGAATAATACTCCCCTCTGTGTGTGTGTGTGTGTGTGTGTGTGTGTGTGCGCATGTGTGTATTACATCTCATCTGTTCTTTAACCATTCATCTGTCAGTGGACACTTAGGTTATTTCCTTGTCTTGGGTATTATAAATAATGCTGCAGTAAACATGGGGGTGCTGTACAAATTGCTTTACTCCCACTAAACTTTGCTTAAGAAATAAGTTTCACTAAGTTAAAGGCCAATAGTTTAGGGTCATTTATTTATTTATTTTACCATAAGCAAAGCCTATTTGATCATGATTAAAAATACATTCTGTGATGGTTCATTTTGTGTTTCATCTTGACTGGCCACAGGGTGCCCAGATTAATCATTATTTCTGGGTGTGTATCTGAGGATAAGATGGTAAGCATAATGAGCATTTCATTACTTCTGGGTGTATATCTGAGGTAAGATGATAAGCATTTGGATTGTTGGACTCTAGATTGCACTCTCCATTGTAAGTGGGCATCATATAATACCTTGAGGGCCTGAAAGAGCAAAAAATGGAAGAAGGAAGAATTCACCCCTTTTTCCCCTGACTCACTGATTGAGGTGTGCAACATCTACTTATCTTCTCTGGCCCTGGAACTGGGATTTATGCCATCACCTGCCCTGGTTCTCAGGCTTTTGGACTTGGACTAAATTAAGCGACCAGCTTTCTTGGGTCTCCAGTTTGCAGACAGCAGATTGTGGTGTTTTCAACCTCTATAATCACATGGTGCAATTTCTCATAATAAATATACTTTTTTGTGTCTTATTTTTATTTAAAAAGTGTTTTATGTACATATTTCAGAATATATTATATATAAAACATATATATGGTATGTTTTTAATCACAGCAGAGTGATTCTGTTAGAATCTCAATCTCTCCAGTGATTTCCTCTCAGACTCAATGCTAAAGT